AGTACTGGGCTGAATTTCACCCTACAGCAAAAATCTGCTGGCTGGAGCAGTGGATTAAAGAAATTGGGGCTAGACTTTTTACTATTTGCAAGACAATGAAAACAGACTTATTTTAGACAAAAATGTTTCTGATTTATGAGAATTTTAGTGCAAAAAGGGGCTATTTTGGAGAAAGTCTTGAGATTAGACTTTCAGTTATATTTTTGGCAAGAGAGTAAGGAAGCCATTTCATTAACTTTTCACTGGAAGTTATATATGGAGGGCATTTGTGTACACAGCTGGGCAGCATAAAACAGGAGGGCTTTGTGTGAAAATATCCTGAAATGAAATTTCATTTCTGTGTGACTTGGATCTGCGTTCCTGGGCTGCCGTGGCCAGTTTGGGATGAAACCATGGGAGGGCAGTGTGAGGCCCTCAAACATTTTTTTTTTCCCCTTGCATTTGCAATGGATGCAGAAATAGCGAACAGACCACTGTGGTCCCTGTGCAAAATCAGTGTCACCTTTTATAGCTTTATGTCCGTCAGATAAGCTCCCGCCTGCTCCCACGTTTCCATATGGCTGTAATCACCGAGTGATACCAAGAGATTTGTTTGTAAGGAACTCCAAAAGCCACATGCTGAGGCTGGTGTGAATTTAGCTCTGGTTTGACCTCCCTCCTTTCCCAACAGATGGCTGCTAATCTGGCCCTAAATCACTGCCATGGTGGAAGGAGCCACTGGCCCCTGTGAAAAGGCAGGGCTGTGGCTGTGCTGGGCAAGGTGGGACCATCCCAGAGCCAATTCCTGGGAATGCTGCTCATCCTTGAGTCCTGCCTTTCTAAAGGCATGTCTTGTGTGGCTTCCAGATTTTACAGGACCCTCTAATGCTGGGTTAGGGGCACAGAGATTCTTCTTGTTTGAGGTGTGATGATCTGCTTGTTGCTCATCGAATCACAGAATCCTCGAATGGTGGATTTGGGTTTGGGTTGGAAGGGACCTCTAAGATCATCCAGTTTCACCTCCTGCTGTGGGTGGGGACACATTTCACTACCCCAGGTGGCTCCAAGCTCCATCCAACTTGGCCTTGGACACTTCCAGGGAAGGGGCTGCCCCAGTTGCTCTGGGCACCCTGTGCCAGGGCCTCCCCACCCTCACAGGGAAGAATTTCTTTCTAACATCTAATTTAAGTATATTAATTTTATTTTAAATTTTAAAAAACTTCCCACTTTTTCTGTCACTCTCTCTGCACGGAATCTTGTGAGTGCATGAAGCAGGTGGGGATGCAAGGCCTTGCAGAGGACATTTCTCAAATATTATCTTCAAGTTATATTGGCTGTTCTTTATTTATACATGTCATATTCTAGGCACTGTCATTTATGTTATTTTGTGCATGTCAGGGCAAAATGTGCATAAGTGAGGATAGCACATGCACTGAGGATTCCTGCTCCAGTTTTCTATGGCAGATAACTTTTGAAGTGCTTCTTTGCTAATAAGCCCATGTTTCACTCTGCCCTGATGTTTTGTAGGCACTGATGTGGGGATCTCTGTATCTCCATCCAAAACCAACTCCCATCTCCAGCAACTCCCTCATTCTTCTCATGGAAGGAAAAAAGCTCCAATAATTGTCTCCCCTCCTACACAAAATAGGAGTCATTGTCTGGTTTTGCTACTATATCCCAGGTTCCTTGGGTTGGTTCCCAGCAGTGTTGAGGTCAGACAAGCAGAGCTGCCTTTTCTCCATGCTCATTCATAGAGATTCTGCTTGATGTGCATGTGATGGTCTGATGCATACCCTTCAGATGCAGGGTTTCTCATCTATTGTGGGATCTTTAGAAATAAATAGTCCTAAAGAATATTCCATACTATCAGAACACATTTCTGGTGTATGTATTCCTTACCCTGGGACATCATGGAATAGGACTGTAAACATTTCACCATCCTTGTTCTCACTTTCAGCCCTGGAAGTCTTCCATTTTATCCACATCTAGACTTCAGTGCTAAATGCCTCAAGAGATAAAGATGTTTTGGGAGTTTTTGAAGTCTAAGCTAACCTAGAAAACACATTTAACACTCTTCTCCCCTGTTTACATTTTGATTACTATTTCATTATGGTTCTACATTCTGCAGGTGCTGTAGAGGACCCCTCACCAGAAAAAGGCTTGTAGTACAAGGGAAAAAAGAAAAGGAAAGGATAAATTTGTCATTGTCCTTTAAAAAAAAAAAAAACAAAAACAGATCGAGGCCCTAATTATGATTTCCCACACTGTGCTGTCTTGTGCAACATTTTTGTCCCTGTGTCATCTTTAACTGCCATCAGTTTCCTGGTGCACCCCTGGCAGGGGTGTGAGGGCACATCAGTGGGTAAAAATGACTTATTTAGAGGCAGAGCCATGAGCTGAACTGTTTGTACTCTTCCTGCTGATAAGGCACAACCCTAGATGCCCAGCCTACTGTTTTTCTGTAACACTTCTGACAAGGCTGGTTTGGTTTCTGTTTTGCTTTGGGAAAGTTCTCCCTCAGAACCAGGATTTGATTTCTGCTCTTAGAGGGTTCATGACAGAAGTAAATTATCTTCTTCCAAGAAACAGTAGAAGATAAATAACTGGCAGCCAGATAAAAATCCTTCTGCCCTGCTTAAACTGTTTCTAATGTTGAAAGACAACAAAAATTTATAGATACTTTTTTGCTGTTGACCCACTCTACAACCAGTCCATGAGCCTTTACTTTGCAAAGCATTAGAAAAGACTGAAGTCTAGGAAAGACACTAAGACCACAGCCTAGTTGTTTATTTCTGATACTATGTGGTTCATTATTGTTTCTTTTAGAAGGAACAAATAATCAATACAAAACCATGAATAAAAATAACTTTTCTTTAAGACTGGATGCTAAAAGAACATATAGTCTTCTTTCTGTGCCTGATGGAAACAGTACAAGTCTGTTCTCCACAATTCTTTGTTTATTGGAATGCCTGAAATCTATACATGAGGTATTTTTAAAACATTTAAACATAGAAGTTAAGCTTCTGCTCCAGACAATTTGTTTCACCATATTCTAAAATCCCAGTGCATACCACAGAAGTGCTTGAAGCAAAGAAACAACAACAAATTTTTTTAAAAACAAACTTCAATTTAAGATAAAATAATTTCCATATTCTTATTTCAAGGAAAACTTGCTTTCCTCATGAGACACATTCAGTTATTGACTCAGCTGCTGTAGGAGATCTTCAAGGCCCAATTCTGCTCGGTGGCACTTTGGAAAGGAGAAGTGCCAATAGTCAACACTTGGCTCTTTCTGAGAGATTGTAGCTCCTCCAAGCACAGAACAATCAAAACATTGCTAATGATCCTGAAACTCTGCATGGTGTCTCTCCTTAGGATCTGGAGGAATAAAACCTTGTGAAGTAGCCTAGCTAAGTGAAATGAGCTCAAGTAGTGTACGGCTCTGAGGGATGTAACTGGCTTCTGGAGGAGGTCTGGACCAGAGGATAAATCACAATATGGGACACTGAGGGCTCTGCCATGACTCTTACCCTGTTCACAGATATGGTAAAATCCTCGAGGATAAATCACAATATGGGACACTGAGGGCTCTGCCATGACTGTTCACAGATATGGTAAAATCCTTTGGACTTTTATATCCCTTTGCAGAGTCGCAGATCTCTTGTGTTTTACTCTCTAGTGAAGGAATATTCTTTCAGTTCAGTTACATGTTTGCTGTTTGCTCTCTCAGCTCTGTCCCTCTCTGGGACACTCAAACTACAAAGTTTCTGCTTGCTGAGTTGTTGTTGAAGTTAAGTGACCCCTTGCAAGCAGAGGACTTTGGGTATCCAGTTAAGCCAAGTCTGCAGGTTGGTCAGTGAGCCCTGCTCCAGCAGGACCTTTTCATTCTGTGCAAATGATGCAAAAACATGGAAGGCTGCAAGGCAGGAAGCCTCCTTTGCTGAAAACTCCTTTGCAACTAAAAGATCTAACATACATCTAATGGCATGAGCTTAAAATAGTGATGCACATCTTACAGATGACATAACAGCGCCTATAAATGTGCCTTTTGCCCAATACTCCCATAGTCAGCATTTTCAAAATATGAGGTCACTTGTTGAGTCTTTCCAAAATAATTTTTTTTAGGATTAGAATACAACTATTCTCATTAAAAAGCATAATTTGCACCCAGCCATGGACTTTTAACTTCTGTCTTATGCATCTTGAAAACTTACTCTTGGAACTTCTATTTAATTCAAATCATACTTGTCTGTAATAAATGCAGTAAAGGGATTCTGCTATGACCAACAAATTTGCACAAAGATGTAATAAGCTGTGTTCTAACTTAGCAAATCAATTTTTTTTCAGCAAGAAATATGTCCTAAGAAGATTTATTCTTTATCGGTACAAACAATAAGGAAATCTTTCTAATTTTTTCTTTTTTTTAAAAAAAATAACTTAAAAATTAGAATGTAGTATTTGAAATACTGGTATTTGTTGCAAATTAGCTACTTCACACCATTTCTTTTTCAGCCTTTTAAACCTGAAAGGTCCCTCTGCTTGGCTTTTATGACTTGTCTACATTTGAGGGTCTATGTTTCTGTACATCCAAAGCGCTGACAACTGATGTTACTTTATTCTAAGACACTGCGAAATCTGAAGATTCAGGCTTGATCTTTACTCATGTTTGAGAATGTAATTACTAATAGTAACTAATAATATTAATCCAATTCAGTAACAGTTTTAGTTATTAAAAACTTTTCATCAGAAATAAGATGAGCATCCATACTTATAGGTCAGTTCAAATAAAACTTTCCCAGGAATGCAAGGACATTAGAAAAATGAGCTTTCAGGTTACTTTAAAATTTGATAAATTTAGGCCTTTCTTTACCAAAAGAAATTGTATGTGCACATTGAGCAGAAATTTCAGGCCATATTCAAGCCTATAGGCTATTTTCTGTCTTTTTTTTTTTTTTTTTTTTTTTAAGAAAAAGAGAAATGTCTGAACATAAACCAGTAACTAATAACTCAAAGTAACTTACCTTTTCTCAGCCAAGAAATATTTTGCTTTTCATGTTCAAAACTTTCAGCTGCTTTGATTTTTACCTTGTCTGTCTTGTCCTCTGACATCTGTGGGAGAGAAAAGAATTTGGGGATGTCAAGTTCTCTTAAAGGAAGTTTGACAGAGAAAGATGTTCTCTGTTTAGGTTCCTGCCATAATAAATTGTGCATACTTACACAGACACTTTTTTTCCCCTGCAGATTATTGATACTACATAATATCTGAGCCGTTGAATTTATGTTCTGTCCCTAAATGCTTTATCAATATTACATGGTTGCTGTTTGCAGAGGGATGCTTTTGTAATGTAACTATAAATTACATTATGAAATAAATTATAAGCTCAGATCATGGTGGTAGTAGATAAACATATAACACATAGAATAGGTACAGTCAGGCTGGGGAGGAGGCATCCAGGCTGCCTGTTTATTGTGGCTCAAAGTTGCTGTAAAGCCTGCTGTCAGAGAACTATAATTACATAAATAGTAATAAATATTTATAAAGACAGCTTGAAAAAAGTGTCCCCCCCCCAAAAAAAAAAAAATCTTTACTGCCACTTGCACCAATTTATTTGCTGTAAAGCGAAGAATCCCGAGCGAGTCCCGGTACCTGAGGGCATTACGTGCCCAGCCCCTGCACTGTGGTTTGTGCTAGGAATAAGATCAGGCAGCCTGGGCTTCTCCTAACTGCATTCAGTGGAAATAGAAGGCAGTCATCTCAAGCATTTCTCTGTTTTTACCTGTATCTCCCACCCAGGCACAGAGCAGCAGGGTTCAGGCGCCGAGGAGAGGAGCCCTTGGCCGAATCCCTCGCTGGGTGTTGGTGTCCAGCATTCCCACACACGGCAAACCGAAAGGATGAGCAGTGCACTCTCTGCCTGCCTGCTGTGTGGTGCCAGATTTGTCTTGCTGCCAGCATCAGCCAACTTACTGCTGAGGGTTTGGGGCTTTTTCTCCCCCCCTCGTTGTTGTTTGCATTCACTTTTAGAGCTGGGGAGGGAAGGAGGAGGGTAGTGAGTATCCCAGCACTACTAGAGTGGTTTAAAAAAAAAGATATCAGAGGCTTTTCAAATAGAAAAAAATGGTTTGGAGAGTTATTACTGCAGTTCATAACCCAGTGAATCTGTGAGAGGAGGAAGAAAATAGAAAGGGAACCAGGAAATTAATAGCAACAAATCAGATAAATGTGCCATGGTTTTGGCTAAATATAAGTTAAGATACTGAAGGATATAGAAATTAGACACCAAATATCTATTTACAGCTGTCACTTTGGCAAAGGAATGGTCTTAGCCTGTGGGGAGCTGAGTGTTGTGACCCTCCCCAGCTCAGGAAGGGCAGCTCAGCCCTTCCCTCCAGTGCCACGGGGCTGAGTGCTCCCTGCTGGGGACAGCACAAGGGGGCAGGGGACAACCGGGGTGGGCTTGCCACACCTTGGAGTCACTACAAAGTTCAGTTTGTTTGTTGATTTTAAAAATTCTCTTGCCACAGTTACCAGCAATATTGCTGTACTGGTAGTAGGTGTAGGATGAAGCCTAAAGAGATGATGATTTTAGGGTGCTCAGGCAGGTTGTCTTTTCATACAGGACAAAAAAAGTCACTCTGCTTCTCAGAACTGAATTTTGAAAGGGTTGGTTGTGGAGTATGTGCAGAATTACTCATTTATCATACTTTTTAAGTGATATTTACAAAATTTCAAGCAACATTTGTCAGCAGATACTATAATCCAGGATTCCAGTGCTTAAGTGTGGCCAATAAATAATAACATATTCCATTTGTTATGACAATTATCTTCCTCTATCCTCCCATCACATGTCATTCTTGCTAGAAAAAAAATGTTTTCTTTCTTTTTTTTTTTTAAAATCTCCTGTGCCAACCTGACGGAGATTCTTCTACCATCTTTAGCTAATTTTGAACTGCGTGCTAAGTGCCTACTTACTTTTCCAAATTGCAATGATTATCTTGCATGGTTTGAAAACCTGTTTTAAGCAGAGTGCTTCAGAAACAGTTGCAACCACGGTGGGGGGAAACTCTAGGGGTAGTATTTTAAGATCTTTGTTCCATTCTCCTTGGATGCAGCTTTGAGAATCATGTGTTTTCAATTGCAGTTCCTGTTCTCCCAGAAACACCTATTTTTCCATGTTGTTGCATCTGCAATGTTTTAAATTTATCAGTGTTGGTGGTTCTTCAGCTGGATTTTCCAGGCTGTGGAGCTCCTGGTGGATCCTAATAAAATCATCTGGGCTCCACACAGAGCAGTCTGAACCTCTCTGATTGTAGCTTGGGTCTGGTGCTACTCTGCATTTCAGAAGCCTCTGTTTAAAATGAAGATACAGGTGGTTTCCAAACTAAACTAGAGTGAAAGTTCCCTAGTTCATCTGGCACATCCTCACTGTTTTTCTAGAGGTTTTGACAAAATCCTAATGCCTTTCCCAAAGAAAGTAAAACAGATGAGGAGAAAGCCCTTCTAAAACCACAGACCTGAAAACTGCTGTGGCTTGAGGTAACAGCCCCTGAAGCCTTGTCCTTCAGGGGTTCTGTCACTTAAACTCTTTGAAAAGCCAGCAGGAGCCAGGACTGAGCCTCCAGGAATGTGAGCAGCCAGTGGTGCTTGAAGACAGCTGAATGTATCCCCCAAACCTTGACAAATACCAGTTTGTCAACACCAAGCAAACACAGACCTGACTTTCCATCAGGTTTTATACCTCTGTATTTGAGCATTAACAAAGGTAATGCAGATCAGTGCTCTGGGATGTTCTCTTCACCTGCTGTCCTGAGATACCCTGCAGGACCCCCAAGTGTTGGTAGCTTGTAAACCAACAGAAGTTACTGAACAAGAAATAACCCAGAAGTGAGCTAAGAAAATATTAAATAACTTTCTTACTCTTCATACTCTCCATTACTGATATTCAATTAATGGTCCTGACGTTTTTCAGTCCAGGAATATTAAATGTAACCTTTCATGATCTTGATCAGCTCCAGTTTTCTACTGAGACATGTTCCTGTGAGCTATTTTTTGCTTCATTTAATTAAGTTATTTTGGATAAATGCATCAATATTTCTGTTTCCTAATCAATCTTAAAGTAGTTAGAGGAAAGGCAACCTTGCCATACATCCTCAGTAATGCCAGGTTTTGCAAAGGAAGAAAAAAACATTATGAGAGAAGGTTATTAAAATATTGAGTAAACTTGTTTCTGTTAAAGCTGTAATTGAATTTTTAAAGCCCTGGCTGATTTTAAACACCGAACTTTAGTTTATGGTTTGATAATTCATTTCACTTTCATTTTTATAGGTTTTATTTTATAGCTACTAAATATCTATGGGCCATCCCATGTTCATTTTCCTTCCTGGATGTGAAATAGGGTATTTAAATGGAGGATTAAAAATAAAAATCATAATGCCAAAATAGATGTGGTATCAGTTTCCAAATAAATGTACTGTATCAAGTGCTTGTTGAGATTCAAGAGTATATTTTTCTGGTCTGCTCAGCTGGGTCTGCAGTCAAGTCTTTGTGGAGTTGGAGGATAGGAAACTTTAATTGGCTGTAATAACCATCAAAACAGGGGAAAAATCTCACTGTTGGTTCTAGCAAGCATCAAAACTGTTAAAGTTTTGTGAAGATCAGGAGTCCAGTACTGGATCTTGTCATGAGTACGAGGGAGGATGTGTAGCCACAGTGAGGAGAGTTTTTGTTACACCTATGAGTACAGCATTTAAAATATTTAATTTCATTACCTGAAATTACTTTTTACTGGAGGATACGAACTATGTGCCTAAAAGTTGAATTTTCCAGCGTGAATTTTACACAGCTCAGCATTAAATTAAGCAGTTACTTCTTTCTTGCACAAACCAGGTAAAATATAGCCACTTGTCCACTGGCAAGTGGCGCTCTGTAGCTTTGGAATACCCCACACTGCTGTAAATGTGTGGTTTATTTAAAAAAAAAAAAAAAAGGTATGATGAAACTATGCCTTTGCTCCCTTTTGCACCCTGGGGTGATCATTTCCAATAATAAAGTGAGTATAATGTGATGTGCCCTGTCAAAGTTAAGGAATCTCTTCTTGATCACGCATCTGTAGGTAGAATATTAAGTTGTGGGAACACGATATACAGCCAAATTATCCTGGTGATTTAATGTAAAATGCATGGTTTTTTAGCCGAACCATCATGTCCTGTGAGTGCTTCAAATGCAAAACAGGCTGTTTAGAGAGACTACCTCAAACTGGCACTGACAAATGATCTATATGCTGCAGAGACCCAGAGCAGTACAAAGATAAGATTTTGCTCCTCATCACTTGTAGACACTCCAGATAATTTCTCAGTAATTCTGTGTCCTGCAAGAGGAGACACAGGGCTTTATTTCACTTTTCCACTCGATGCCACTGTAGGTCAGTGAAAGTCTGGGAATGTGTTTAGGCTGGAGGATGGAATAAAACCTTGAAAAGAGTTGCAGAGGCAGGTTAGTATAGAGGTCACTCATAACATGGAGAAAGCCCAAACAAATGAAATTAAGAATGGTCCATACTTCCACTGTGTAGTAAAGAAAAGAGAGAGACATCACATATTTCATTGTCAGGAGGGCAGAGAGGTTACTTGGTGTCTTTGTGAGAAAGTGACAATTGGGACACTGCTAGGAAAAGAGGATGAAGCTCCAGTGTGAAATAAATGTGACGATGAGTGTGGTGCTGGGGTGAGGAAGGCAGAGAGACCCAGGCACTAGCCCTGGAGCCATGAAAGCCCTGTCCCAGCTGGGAGAGGGTCTCTGAATGCAGTAGTGGCCTGGGCCATTTTCTCTCCTACCAGTGAAAATTCAAGCCCAGAGTCTGAGTCTGTAGTAACACAAGCTGTGTGTGCCTCTGCACATCCTGGCCTGCAGCAGAAAATCCTTCCATGCTGTGTTGTGTTTTGCCCATCATGGGCCACGTTCTTCACGACCTCTGTGTGTATTCTCTTTACAAATTCTTCTGCTTTGCCCTGTCATTTGGGTGGAAAGTATCTTAAACCCAAGAGGTTTTCTAAACACTGGTTTATAGTGTGTTACAGGGTGATTTGACATTTTAGAGGCTCAGTTTGGTGCATTTAGAAAGGCAGGTGAAGCAGTGTCCCTTGACCTGGAGGGATCCATCTGTGCTACAGGGAACTTCTGGAAAAATAATTGAAAGCTTCTTGGATATCACAGCAAAAATTGGGACAGACTTGTCATGATGAGATGGAAAATAAGCAGAATAATTGCTGCTGTATCACAGTATAAGTGAGACAGGAATGTGACCATCTCAGGGAGGTGTAGCCTTTGGCAGATGGGTGCAACCAACAGCAGTTACAGGACTTTTATGGGAGTGTACAGGTGAAAAATGAAGGTAATATCTTAATTGAAGCAATCCTTTGCTGCTATCTAAGAGCTGGATATCTTGGATTATTGTAATGCCACTAGCTGAATATTTTTCAATCACCTCCTTTTTAGTTCAATGCAGGATTGTCTAGCCAATGCTCAGACAAGCTGTCCTTGAAGTCCTGTGAAGACACTCAGGCAGATGCCCTTTCTAGACAGCCCAGGGCTTTTCAATCCTGTTCACAAATACATAAACTTCTCATGATGTCTATTCTAACTCTTCCTTCACTGTAGATTTAACCCATAACTCTTATCCTCTCTGAAATGCTCATGCAAATCTGAGTTTCCTGTCCCTTTGCAACAATCTTTACAGCAGATGAAGGAATGTTATCACATGTCCTCAGTTTTTATCAATACTTACATTTAGATCACATTCTTTAGCCTGTGGTCATGATTTTTGCAGGTGTCACCTTTCTGGTGTCCAGAACTGTTCTTGTTCCTCCTAAGGCCTTGCCCACATGGACAGAGCAGTGA